ATTTTTTTCTTGATCCTTTATTTTATATTAAATCATTCATATGCATAAAAAAATTTTGTCATCATATGATTTAAAAAAAAAAAATCTTTGGCTCAGGTCATGATCTCATAGTTCGTGAGTTCAAGCCCCATGTCAGGCTCTCTGTGCAGAGTCCTCTTCGGATCCTGTCTCCTTCTCTCTCCCCTTCCCCACTTGCACATGTGCACTCTCTCTCAAAACTAAACCTAAAAAAAATCTTTCACTAAATAATGGCAGTACTGCAAGCTATAAGATGCCTTTGATCTAACACTGGGCAAGATGAACCAAACGCTAGCTGGCCTCACTAAGAAGAGAGCATTGTATTTCCTGCTGTTAACACAGAAGTTATGAATTTGATCTCAAGCACAATTTTTGATATTCATTCATTCACTCATCAGATATGTTTATTGAAAAGGAATGTGTCCCTGATATTAAGGTCTTAAGAGAAGAAAGACAAAGACGTTGGTCTCACAAATATTACATTATAGTGAATCATATCTACATTTCCTTAGGTATGCATATTTTGAAAGAAATTATTGGATTTTTCCCAGACTACAAGAGAAGTTCACTGAAAATAGATGATTCAGTCATACAAAATGTACTGAATTTGGTGTACTACTGGGGAGCCTTCAACAATGGTAATTTTCAACAAAATAATTGGGGTGAAAGCTGGGCTGTGAGTTAGGAGTTTCCTATAGCAGAAGTGTGAATGCACCCCGGCTCATTAGAGGACTATGTCAAGGAAGGTTGGGCTGAAGTTCACCATCATTCAATTTGTGTCTTCTTCAGGCTCCCTACCCCGGTTATTTTCCACAGCTTTAAAGTGTTCCCTATCATTTTGGCCAAATGTGCACAGTGCTGGAAAGGACATACTTTCAGCAGAATTATTTAATTAGGTTTAAGTAAGCACTACATGCCAAGTAGGGTAGCTTTGCTTTCTGGCCATAAAAATGTGCCTGCGATGCACGCTGCGTTCCCAAGGAGTGAAACAGTGATTGATGGGATGATAAAACAATGAAGGGAAGGATAAAGCCTGAGAGATAAAAGTCTCAAAAGGGAAATAAAGTAGGGTAGCAGCTGCCCCCATCTTAATTGAGGCATAAATTTCAGGAACAGGATCTGAGGTTTAATTTCAAGCACATACTGGGAGAGAGTTGTGAGTGTGTGTGTGTGTGTGTGTGTGTGTGTGTGTGTGTGTTACCCGTGTAGATGATGGAAAACATGTATGTTAACTTTTCATGGTTTGTATTAAGAGTTTTCAAACCACTTATAAAAAAGGAGAAAGTTGCAAATGTAGAAGTTTCTGGATTATCACTGAGAGATACTCATTTAGTCTGAATCAGTGATGAGTAGGACCTGTTCCAGGCACTGGTGACGCAGCACTAGAAATGACACATTTATGCACTCATAGAACTGTATACTCTGAGTTTACCATTTGTCTCTGCACATACCTTCCTTGCCCCTAGGGATCCCATGCTGTGTCTTTAAGCACAGATTCAATTACATCAGGTCCATATGATAACACCGTAGCTGTGCACGCCAAACACTCCAGTCCAGCCCCTACCTATATCCTCCATCTCTTCCTGTATGTCTCCCTACTTTCCAGGGGCAAGTCTCCCATTCTCCAAAGGTAACATATATTTTTACATCATGGTGGCTTTGCCATACTGTTCCCTGAACTTAGAATGCTGTTACACCTATTTCCCATCAATTAAAATTCTCCCTACTTTTTTTGTTTATTTATTTTTATGAGAGAGAATAAATAAGACAGAGAGAGAGAGAGAGAGAGAGAGAGAGAGAGAGACAGAGAGACAGAGAGAGCACATGAGCAGGAGAGGGGGAGAGAGAATCCCAAGTAGGCTCCCCGTTGTTAGCACAGGGTCCCATGAGGGGCTCGATTCCATGAACCCTGAGATCATTACCTGAGCTGAAATCAAGAGTCAGAAGCTTAACCAACTGAACCACCTGAGTGCCCTTCTCCCTACTTTTTAACGATGAAGCTGAAATGCCTCTTAAGCCTCAAGACCTTTGAATACTCCTATCAGTTACAACAGTCCTTCATCTTAGTTTCTGGAGAATTCTGTTTGAAATACATCATCAAACTTTTTAGTTCATTTCACCCAAAGTTGAGCTGTTTACATGGCAGTTTCACCCTGCTAGATGAATTCAGGGCAAGGAAGGTTGTTAATTTGTTACTGGCCACACAGTGCTTTACATCCTGTTGACATTCAAAAACTGAATTGTAAATAAATAGGTAGCTAAAAGTATTTAAGATTCCTACAAGACTTTTTATGATGAAATCAGTTGCCTCGCTAAGTTCTCCAGGTTCTTAGAAGACCTCAAAATAAGATCTCAAAATAAGAATAGTTGCACAGGTAAGAATGTCCATTGCTCTCTGCAGAAAGTAAGGGACACATGGCATACATGGGTGCTGTGTAAACATTTTCGCGAATCATGCTGGAGACTGCATATCCCATAACATGGGGCATGCTGTTATCAGAAGCGCTTTTGAAAACCTCACCTTTTATATTTTGTCTTTCTTGCTTAATATTGCTTCTCCATACAAACATACAACAATGTAATCCTGAGCTAGGCAAACCTTTACTTTTAAAATGAGTTAAGAAAGAAAAATTGCTTTTAAGCTAAGGAACAGTACAAATTGTTATGGCTTTGTTATAAACTTGTGAGAAGCAGAGTTGGGAAGCCTTGACACTCTTAACTTTATGGAGGAGCTAACATGCATCCCTATAAAAAACACAACTACCATCGTTACAACAGAGAACAAAAATGAATTTAAAACTAATATAAGCTATAAAACTATAATGTATAAATTTTCTGTTCCTTTTTAAAGAGTTAACCTTTCACTGGGAAAATACATGAATTCACTGTCAAATCTTTTATGTGCTTGGGGCCCTTCTACAATATATGTTTTTATACAGAACAGTAGAGTGTACTATCTCTGTACCTCCTAATCAATAGGATTCACTTTCAAAAGGTTGACTGAAGAGAAAAGAAGTTATGTTTCTTGGATCAAAAGCGCTTGTACACTTTTTCTATATTGCTAACTTACAAAGTTCGGAAAGGTATTCTAAAGAACAAAAATGCTGATCTCACAGTACAGGAGAACTCTTCCTTGTGACAAGATTAAAGAAGTGCTAGTAATTGCATTATCACATGAGGTCCTTCAAAACTGGTTTCATTTTATCCTTCTTTTTGTCTTTTTCTTCTAAGTCTGATGTTTTAACATGGAACCCAATTTTGTTGAAAATAGAGAAATAAGCACAATCAGGATGGAATTTATTTTGGACTCAGATATTAAGACTTAAACATTTAAGAATATGTAAATCTGGGGCACGTGGGTGGCTCAGTCCACTAAGCATCTGACTTCTCTCTGACCACTCACGGTTTGTGGGTTTCAGTCCTGCATTGGGCTCTGTGCTAACAGCTCAGAACCTGGAACCTGCTTCAGATTCTGTGTTTCCCTCTCTCTCTGCCCCTCCCCTGCTTTTGCTCTCTCTCTCTCTCTCTCTCTCTCTCTCTCTCTCAAAAATAAATAAATAAATAAATAAATAAATAAATAAATAAATAAATAAAACAGGTAAATCTATCATGAGGCATTCTTGTTATAATCGTTTGCTTCATTCTAATGCGACAAAGCACAGAAGCAGGTTGAGGTATAGTCCCTTTTATTTACAGACTAGCAGAACTCTTGTAAGTGTGCATAACTCCCCCTTGCCACTAAGCACGACAATTGTCCACAACTCAGTTTATCAGTAAGGATTTCTGCCATGAGTCTGGTCATCTATACTACTTCTAATAAATTTGAAATCTGTGAGTATTTTGATTTTTTCTCTCTTGATATCATCACAGACAAATAAGTTATTATGGGATTGGGAAGGCTTATTTATTATACTTTAAAGAATCAATTATTTTCAGTCACTTCAGAAGTTCTCTTTTATATCCAAATAATTATCTTAGGCTATAATTTATTTATTGATGACTGAGTTCTACCTACTTTATTTTCAGAAAGTAAGAAAGCTGTATTGGCTTAAATAGTTCATTCAAGTGACTTAGAATAATCTTCCTCCTTTTTTCTCAATTAATGCATTTTACTTATATTTTCTGTTTCTATAATTGAACTTAAAGAAAATCATGCTTTGGGATGCCTAAAATTCAAAGAATCTGAAAAAGCTTTGATGGTCTTAAAGTCAGAGCACAAGAATGACTCCTGCTTCTCCCAGGTAATTGTTGATAACAGATTTAAATTATATTATGGAGGAGGCAGACAGTTAAGGAGAGAGATAAGAAGGTCTGACAAACTATAGGTAATGGTTGAGAAGAGTTTCCAGAATGCAATAGATAAAAGTAGCAAAAAGAATACTTGAATAAAAGCGTAACATTTTAAAATCTAAGAGCCACAATAATAATGAAGGATGTCATTGTATCGCCATTTTAAATAATACTTACATGAACCGAAATTGGAATGATAAATACTTACAAAGAAATAAATGGCAGAATAATGGTATAATCTTCTAAATTAGAGTAACCCTTAGGCATATTTATAAGATCATATGCTATAAACCGACACTCACATTTCGATAATGTGTATAGTACAACAACTTAACAGCAACACTTTTCCTACAACACCTTCAAAAGTACACCTGCTTATTCCATTATAGTTCCGAGTAGTTACTTAAAGAGGAAATCTCCTTAGCTTGCAATTTTGGGCTATTGCATCCATAGTATCTTGGGTCTGCTTTATATGTATCTTAAAATAACTCCTTTCTCCTCTTGAGAAAAAATGGACTCAATTATTACTCTATACATTCTCCTAAATCCAAGGGAGTACCATTCTTCAACAACCTGTTCAGTGGACTTAGAAAATAAATAGAAAAGCTGTACATTTATTCAATGCATCTTGGCAACACACTAAAACCCTTAGAGCAAATGATAAATGATCCAATGTCTTCTTCAAATCTTACCTGGTTTACTCTTTTTAAAAATCCAACCCTTGCTGTCTACCATGCAAAGCTCCTGGCCACTGGCTGAAATCCAAACTGGGTAGTTGATCATGATAATTCCAACATGTCATGGGCGGCAGCATCTCTCAGAGTCCCACAAGCCAACTGCTTGAAGTGAACCTGCAACAAACAAGGTATTTCTTCATTTTAATGGAAAAATAGTGAACCATGACCTAGGTCTAGCAGGCATCACTAGTTAATCAATAATGGAATCATGAAAGAGTATGTGAAGGGCCACAAATGCCTCTCAAGATGCTGATAAACATTAAAGCCAGAAGACTGAAGTTTATGAGCTACAGAAGGTGTTTTTGCAGAGTGCACGGTCCTCTTATTGATCTATTTAAGCTGTCGGTATAAATAAACATTATTGATATTAAAACCCACATATTTTTGGTGTGTACCCCTTCTCTTTCATGTAGGTGACCACTTGGGGTAATCAGAATAATTTTCTGACTCTACCTATAGAACTCTTAGGGTAACTGAGCAAAGAGATTCAAAAAGGCCAAACTCATCACCAGCTAAAGAAAATTCCACATGTTGGTTTAGATCAAGGATAGTTTCCTTTGTGAGTTCTGACACTCTGGTCAGTGTCAACATTCACTGTAAAAAACGTGCATCACGTCTGTAGGAGAGCATGTGAGAAACACCTTTAAGGGGCATATATGAGGTCCTGCATATTCCACAGCTACCTTATCCATGTTGAGACACAGACTATAAAACAGTAACCAACATGAACATATTGTAGTCAGAATCTGTACACAAAGGAAATGCCCACAGCCCAGGGAAGTAATTACATGACTGAATTTGGGGACAGTGTACTACATACCTAATGTTTCAACTATCAATGTCCGTATGACTAAATATGGTGTTTAAACATTTAAGCATGTTTGATTTCCATTCAAGGAGGAAAAAATAAACATGCATAATCAACAACTCTTATTATACTCGTACCTGCCACACAAATAACTCTGTTCAACAGAAATTTAGGAAACCAGTGAACAGATTAGCTTATTGGGCTTTCCAGGATAGACTTTAATAACTATTAGTTTTTTTTTTTAGCTACAGCAACCATATTTAGTTATGCAAATACAAAACCAGAATTATTATTATTTTCTAAATAGTGCAACAGAAATGGTTGAGAGGCTATTCTAAGTCTGTAGGGGGACTCATGTGGATGATTATGTGCTGCAGATTCATGGACACAGGTGCAAAAGCTGATTTTAACAAGCCACAAAATGATATATCCTCATGCACCTGTGATTAGAGCTTCAAGTATTCCCAGAAGTCAATGGGGAGACTTCGTTAAAAGGCACAGTAGTGAGATATCCTATTGTGCCATTTCAGCAGAAATGGTAAGAAGGCAACGGGTTGAAGTCAAGTACATACTTCAGACTAAAATGCAATATTTCAAAGTAAATCCTTAAAAGGAGGAATGTATACCTGGACACTAAGCGATCATTCTGCAATTCAGAACAGGAATGCGGACACTATTACTGACACACCCAGACCCCACCTCCGCAACAAACACATCCAGACACACACATGCACACACAAGGCTAAAATGTTCTAATCTGTTGATTTAAGCCCTGGTATTTGTTAAGTTAAAACCTTAGTCAACTTATGGATGCAAAATGTTTCTATGCATGCCAAAAATCATTATTACTTCTTTTCTGCATTATGTATGCTCTAAAAATTCAAATCAATTCCCTTATAAAACAAATATGTTCTCATGAGTGGTAATCCTTTTTGGTCTCTTGGAAGCCATGTAGGATACTGAAAGATGTCATATGCTGGTGGACCTAATGACAGGGAAGTGTTTATAAACATAATCTCCAAGCTCCCAAACTAACTTTAAATGAAAACATTTTGAAAGCCTCTTGCTTTAGAAGCAGCTATCTGTGCCCTGGTGTGACTTCTTACACTTCAGTTGTGCTACTTACGACAAAAAAGTAAATATAAGTAAATCAATGTAGCTACTTGCTTTCTAAAATGAGCTTTATTTCATTATTCAAAGAGGATGCTCTTGATCCCTTCTTTGAAGGGACAGGTTTTGTGTATTTCCTTCAGTACTGATGGTTTTCCACTGACTGTTGATAACCGACTTATCCATGACCCCACTTATTTATTCCACAAATTTTAATTGAGTACCTCAGTTGTTCCAGGTATGGGATTAAGTGCCTGGATACAAAATGGAAAGACACATTCTCTTCCCATAAAAAAGACTGTCATCTATTCTATTCTGATTTGTTAGCATATATTTGTAACAACGAAAGGAAGCAACATTAGACCAAATAAAACGAATTGGCTTTATTTTTTATCCTACTCATATATGACAGACCATGGGATTTTCTGAAGTTTGTCACTGAGCACAGCATTATAGGTCAAAGACAAAGCTACAATATCAAATGACTGATTCACACAGTTCACTCACATAAAGTGTTTACTGGATGTGATGGTTTTGTATCACTGTTAAGTTTTTCTCCATAAGCCAATTAACTGTCAAAATGGTTCAGAAAAATCCAACCAACTTGTACATTGATGTTTTTAGCATCCAACATAGAGTCAGTGCCTCCCAGATGTGTGTACTGGGCTTCACATACAATCAATCCTTTGCTGTCTACATCACAGTTCATGGAGATATCTATATATATATATAGATATATATATATATATATAGATATATATATAGATATATATATAGATATATATAGATATATATAAACAGGTGGGGGTGTTGTACAACAAGTTGCTTCACACACTTTTTGTATTATCTATTCCATTTGTTTCCTCAAAAAGATACACAAAATTAAATGCATATATTTTTCTCAAAGAGAAGTCCATGGGTATTCATAAGAAATACTAATTCCATGACATTGGTTTAAAACCTTATTCTAATACTAGTGCTCAGAATGAAGAAAAAAAAAAGACTTAAAATAAATTTTTTTACTTTTCTCTCTTTCAAATATGCTATCAAATAGGAAAACAAAAGCAAAAGGTAGAGATAATGCTTTAAATAATACTCTTGGAAATTAAGTGATTTTTACTAAAATCAGTATGGTTTCCAAACATTATAATTTTCTTCTATTTTCTCATCTTACATTTTTTGAGCCTCTGCTTATTACTGAGATGACTCGTCTGAGACCAAGTCTTTTAAAAAAATAAATGCGGGACACCTGGGTGGCTCAGTTGGTTGGGCATCTGACTTCAGCTCAGGTCATGATCTCATGGCTTGTGAGTTCGAGCCCTCAGTCTGGCTCTGTGCTGACAGCTCAGAGCCTGGAGCTTGCTTTGGATTCTGTCTCTCTCTCTCTCACTCTCTCTCTCTCTCTCTCTCTCTTTCTCTCTGCTCCTCCCTCACTCACTCTGTCTTCTCCCTCTCTCAAAAATAAATAAAAACATTACATTTTTTTAAATAAAAAAATAAAAAATAAATGTTATTCTTATTTTTAAGAAACATATATTTTTTTTTCTTGAGAGAGAGAGAGAGAGAGAGAGAGAGAGAGAGAGAGAGAAGTAGGGGAGAAGAACAGAGGGAGAGAGAGAGAATCACAAGCAGGCTCCATGTTTAGCATGGAGCCTGACTCGAGCTCAATCCCAGGACTCTAATGTCATGACCTGGGCAGACACCAAGAGTCGCTCAACTGACTGAGCCACCCAGGTGCCCTGAAACTTGTATTCTTTGAAACTGAATTTTGAATGAGGGCTTTTTACTGCACATAAATTATACCTCAATACTGTATTCATGAATTGTTGACAATGTTCAAAGAGGTTCTAGATAGGGGCATGGTATACAGAACCTATTGATAAAATCCTATTGTGCATGAATTTAAAACAAAACAAGACCAAAATAAAATTTGAAAAAAGTAGAAGAAATTCAAACACTCACAAACACTATTTTCTTGTTTCTTGGTCTGGCCTTAAGTGCTCTGAAATTGAATTTTGGTCTTCTTTTTCTTTATGCACACTACCACTACCCTTTTAGTTTATCTCATTGCTTTGAAGGAAGCTTTCCAAAGGATCCCCTCAGCACTTAGGCACTCATTTTATAAACTATTGATTTGTACTTGTTGATATGTTGCTCTTTAAACTTTATCTCAGGGATGTGCTTCATCTTCCCCATAGAGGCATGCTGCACAGCCCTCTGGGTAGCCGACAGAACTGGAAGAGCATTCAGCACTCTGAGCTCAGTGCATTTGTTAAATGACTGCTTGGTGCATTTTGCAAGCTGTGTATCTAGGTTACTCATTTTCCCACACAAACATCAAGAATATAGGAATAAGTAGGTTATCAACAATCAAAGTAATGAGGCTTTCTGCCTTAGAAGTTTCAAATATGTTCCTTTTATCGGTGATATTGGAAAAGAGAAGGTGCTACCATTTTTATTTACAAAATGATTGCTTCCAAATTCCTTTTTTCCTTCTTCTTCATTTAGTCAGATGTAAAAGTCACAGATTATTTCCCAGCAGGCAGGGGTCATCAAAAAAATCTATGTGCCTATTGCTGTTTCATATATGGTTTCACATTTAATTTTGTCAAAAAAACATGCAAAGTAATGTAATAACGCCCACTTCAAGGTGATTGAAATAAGAATCAGAGAGTGGAAGTTATTGTCCAAAGACATAGAAGCTTTGAAAAATGGAGCTTGAATGCAGTTAATTGATAGTGCTGTACTGTCAATTCCAAATTCTTATAAATTGAGTTTGAAAGATGTGCTCAATATATATATGGAAATCTGAGTCTCAGGGAAATGAAATGACATACCAGAGGTCATTAGGATCACAGTAGGATCTGGATGAGTACATAACCCCATGATACACCTGTATTTCTAATACACCACTCTCTCACCCAGCTTACTTGACATGGTGTCTAAACAACTTTATAGATTTCCAACTCACTTGATTTTAAATAACCAAGCTCTGAGTAGGTTTTATTTTGGAAAGAAGATACCAAAAGTCAACAAACAAAATAACAGGATTTCTGAGTACTCAATTTTAAATGAGTTTAATTTTCTGAAAGCAACAGATGACATTTTTCTCTCTCCCTTTAAAGCCATGTTTTTCCAATGGAAAAAACATAGACACAAGGAGAAGACTGTGATGATAGATTGTGACAAAGATGAT